TACACAGTGGAAGGAATGCCCAAGCAACCAGTCAAATCAATTCAAGTCAAGGCCACAACCAACTTCTGGCCTAACCCAACAACTAAAGGAAACAACACTGTGACCGCTGATGTGTCTTGAGAAAGAGGAGCGAGAATTGAGGAGAGAAACTGAAAGCTTAGAAATTGCCGGTGCTTAAGGAAGACTCTGCATAAACTGAGGGTATTGTGTGAGACGGGCAGAAAAGAAAAGGCAAATAAGAGATTACTAATAGCTCTGAGCATACACAACTTGCAGGTGTGTCCTGCTGGCTGCTGTGTTTCCGTTACACGGGGGCTCCTCTGTGGCACAGATTATGTCCCTGCTCGAGGCAATGGATCCCAGATGGTTCCGGTGCTGGCCCGTGAGGCCCCTGAATCTAGGCCATCTGCTGCCCACACAGGAGGAAGATCTTCAGGGTGTTGATTTGTCAGACTGAAGGTATTAACAAACAAACAAGCTCTATTCTGACTTCCGGTGCTGCTAATTTTCCTAAACCAACATGTGACTGGGTTGCCCGAGCAGGACAGAGAATATTCAAGACCACGTTACCTAAGTTGGAGTCAAAAGACTGACGTTTCCTTCCAACTGCGGTGTGCAGTCTCCTGCCCAGCATGTGGCCTGACACTATCCTCCTTGGGCTCCTCGATGGGTGGTCTTTCCACAAAACTAACATTGGCACAGTCTGCTCGGTGATGCCACCCCCTCCCGATGGAGGCCACGCTCTTGCCACCACAAGCAGATGGAAGCTGAGGTGGAAATGATTGTTTCGTTTGACATTCACCCTCCTCCCCACTCTAGTCCTGAAAACCAAGTGGGAGTTCCAGCTACTTAGATGCCTCTACTTCCCTGGTCCCAGAGACTGGTCCAGGTTCCTCATCTGATCTAAGATAGATCAAGCAGTTCTTCCACAGATTAGTTTTTCCTAATGAGGAGGGGTAGTGTCTCTCTGTGGTCTGAGCCTGTAAAGACATCGGCTGGAGCCTGTGGGAGGCCAAGTCTCCACCATGTGCATAAGACATTTTCAAAAAATGGTCCTGTAGAGTGAGACATAGAGCCAAGAGAGGAGAGGGACAATTATAAGGGCATCTAGACCCTGTTGCCAGGCATCCCCAAGGCAGCTTCCATCTGAGCCTGGATATAGGTCTATATCCTCAATAATGGGCCTCTTTTTGGTGAGGCCAGTTCAATTTTTTTAGTTGGACTCACACCCAGAAAGCCCTAATGCAGAGGCGTCTTCCTCTTTCAGTTGGTCTCAGCTCCAAGTATTTTCAGCACTTTCAGGTCCAGCTCTTCATCACTTTGCCCCTGCCTTTTCCTAGGTGGCCCCCTGTGGCCTCTCCACTCACCTGCATCAAGCTCCCCTCTGCTACGCTGCCACGCGCCGCCAACACCCGGCCCTCCCGGTGCCCAGGGTGAGTGATCTGCCGCTGCCACGACCACTTAGCTTATCTCCAACAAGACCATTCCTCCTCCCTTTTACTCATCCTCTGCTATTTGTCTGGCATATGTATGTTTCTTCAGAAAGACCGTAGATTCCTTCGACAGCAAGAATCTCTTTATCCCGGCTCCTGTTGCCTAGTATCACAGTTCACACACAATAGGCCCTCCATAAATATTTGCTAAATAAATCAAATAAGAATCCCCATCTCCCTGACACATCATCCCTGACTGGTGGGAAGGAAATAAGTCGATTCTTTTTTCCTCCTTTGCTGAAGCAGTTCGAAGACTCTCCACCTTCCCTCGCCATTTCACAATGTGCTCTTCCCCTCTCTCTGCATTTCATGTCAGTCCTGCAGCGCCCCTGTCCTGTGAAGTGGGCCCCGGTGGGAGGTGCGAGTCTTCCCGCACTCATTGTTAGCTCCTCTCCAGCTGCCACAGATACATTTACGATGGGAGTTAAAGCCTGGTGTTGCATTGTGTTTGCACCTTAGGGGAAGACACCTCTTCCTCATTAGAAATTTGGGAATCTCCTTTTGATAGTATTTATATTGGGTTCAGGCAAGTAGTACATTTAACTTATTTAACAAATGCTTACATGGCACTTACTGAATGTCAGGCACTGTTCTGAACACTCTAACCATAGTAACTAGTTCCTTCTTATAACAACCTTGCCAGGTAGATAAAATTATTACCCTCAGCCTCATTTCACAGATGAGGAAATGGGGACACAGAATGATCAAGGGACTTGCCCAAGGTCCCACAGCAATTGCTAGCTAAGCTGGAATTCGAATAGTCAGGCTGGCTCCAGAACCCATGTCCTACCCACTGGGTCCTGCTGCCTGTCAGTGATCAGGGCAGAGTCCAGACCACACATCTGAGCTGCCTTTCTTAACACTCGGGCCTCTCGAGAGCAGGGAGTCTCTTTGACGTGACTACCTAGCAACACGTCAACGTGTGCTTGCTTAATCAATGTTTCTGGGCTTATCGATTCACTACCTATGGCCTGAATACAGGTTTATTTATGTTATTCTATGCAGTTAATTGTTCACATTGTAATCAACGCTTGTCCTAAAATTTGGTTCCTCAAGATATATTTTCAAACAACCGAGGAACCACACCAAGAATTACCTCTAATTACACATTGCACCCATTTTGAGTACTAGAGATGACTTGAAGGCAAAACGTGTGTTATTTAAAATTATTAAACTGATAGTAAATAAAATGTCATTTTGCCCAAAAGAGAGATTAAGTTGCAGCTCCCTTTTCTTTTTTTATTGCCCTCTCTAGGTGTCTAGGATCAGACAAGATATTTTTTTCTCCTGATTTTTAGTCTTTTTCTTGAATTAGTACATATTTTTTAGCTGCTCACAAGCCACCACTCACTGTTCAGCAAAAAAAAATCAGATTCAAACCCCAGAACAGAACAAACATGAAAAACACACGGGCTATTTATTTGATGTAGGGGTGATTCATAGTACAGTGTTTGGGTACTGTTTGGAGCCAATGCTAGTTGCCTCAGGGTATTTCTAAATTGAATTCCAGGAATAAAGTGTTTATAAATAGTGAGCATAGAAAAGAAATGTATTCATCCCAGCCACTCCCTTAAGGAGTCCCAATGGCCTCCCCTTGGAACTACCAACTCGTTCAAGTAGTTAATTGGTTAGCTGGTTGGGTTAAGTTGGTGGTTCTCAACCCTATCAGACCCAACACCCTATTTTATGACAAATAAACTTAACCTTTTTTATAATCCTTAAATGAAATTCATATATAACAAAATCTAAATACACACAAGTAAATATATATATATCTTAATAGTAATTAAGAGAAATGCTAAGATATAGTTTATAATGATATAACTATCTTAATGTATAAATTTTCTGCAATATTACAATGGAAGAGATAATAAAGTTGACAGACATTTGCGTCTAATGTAGATTCACCAAAATATAATATGTAAAGTAATATGCAATACACGATATATGTAAGAGCAATTAGACTGAAACAGACATGCTGTATTGGTGATTCAAAGACCATGAGCAGCATTGTAGACAATGATGTGATTTTCCAAACTTATGAACAAATCTTGGTAAAATTCCTAAATAATAGTGTATAATCTTCTCTTAATTTACATGGTAGTTATGCACCTAGACAATTCATCTTGTATTAAAACAGTACAAGCTGCTTTGTTGCTTGTGTGTAAATGGAGTTAGCATCTAGGCTCAGATAATTATAAGCAGGTTTTTTCTACATAAATGTGCAGCAAGACATTCAGAAGTTTGCGGGACACGGGGGAATTTTTTTGTTGTGCAGGGCTATTCTGAGCACTGCTGTATTCTTGCCTTCCAGACCTGCCTTCTAAGTGCCAGTAATGTCCTGCAATCATTGTGTCATTCAAGGGCAGCTGCCCTAAATTTCCCCAAATACTCTCTATTGGTGACACCACCCTCATTGACAACCACTGGGTCAATTCCTAGTATTAGATTTAGTCCCAAATAATTATGTCAATTTATTCTCCTGACTTTTTGTAGTCCTTGAAAACCAAAGGCATGTCTACAGTAAAATCCTCAGTAATTAGGTTATTGGGTTGGTGTGATTGGGTTATACTGGAGACTGTATGTTCCATGAGAGCAAGGGCCCAGTTCACCCCATGTGCACAATATCTAGTACCTGCACAAGGCCGGGCTTTATATGTCTTGCTTGAAGGAGTAAATAATTTTGAGGTTGGCCATCTGGGTTAGTGAAGAGATATATACTATTGAAAAGGAATAGATTTGTTACTTTCAAGTACATGTGACGTCCAGATGCTCACTAGAGAGACCCGTATTTAAGTCTTATTCAAAAATACCATTTCAGTTGTTTCTGATTGAATGAGTGACATTATAATGATTGAAACCATCTGGAAGCTGTCAAAGACCCAGAACCTTCATGTCACTTTGAGGGAAAGGGGGCATGTTGAGGACCCCACATGAACTGTGACGTTCGCCTAAAAGGTTTGCTTCATCTTCACAGTGGTCTGTGAAGCAGCTATTAGCAAATCTATTTTTACAAGTGATGAAATTAGACTCAACAAGGCAAATAATCTGCCCAAAGGTAGACAGTTGGCTCAACAGCAGAACAGAGTTGGAACTCAGAACTGTCTGATTCCAGAGGCTTCATCTTTCCAAGAAATCATACTGCTTCTCTTTCTTCAGTGAAGCAAAGCTAAGTGTCTGTTAAATCTATTGGGTTGGCCAAAAAGTTCGTTTGGGTTTCTCCATAACATCTTACGGACATTATTATAATTTTACTCTGTACAGAGTTCCAGCTGTCATGTCTATTAAATTCCACTTTTCCTAGTGGGTCAGTGATTTTTGCATTGATCCTGTTCTTGGTTGGGTTCCAGCATTCCAGGTCTTGTAAGCTCACTTTAGTGAGATTCTTGAGGGACTGTGTCCTCTTTGTCTTTGGGTCTCCAGAACCTGGGATGGTAACTGGCACAGAGTAGACATTCAGGGAGTGTTTGTTGGTTGACTTTAATTGCATGCCATTTCTCCTTTCAGGCCTTGGCCTTATACAATATTTCAGCGAGGCTTTGACCTGGTTTTGGGAGAACAACCTTCTGATAAAATATTCAGGTAAGTTGTTGTCTAGGGACTTGCTTATATATCTCTGCAAGCCCCATGTCCCACTTCCCACTGACCTTTCTTTCCTAGTGGTAATTTATAAAATGTGGAACACTTTTAGTCATTCTGCCCTCCTAGTAACAGCAGCGTTTGCCCTCCTTCATCCAGTGACATCATGGAGGATGTTGAGGCCGGACAGATTCTGTTGGGGTCCTGGCTTCCTTCCTTGCCTGCTCTGTGACCCCCAGTCATTTACTTAACCTCTTGGAGCCCCCAGTTTCCACATTTGTTAAACAGAGCTTCATTACATGCCTTGCTGTATTGTTGTGAGGAGTATATGAGATAATGCAGGGAAAGCCCCTGGCACAGAACAAGCAACTAATGTTAGTTTTTGCCTCTTCATTTTGCATCTAATTTGCACCTTTCTCATAAAGACTTAAGTTGTTCAAAATTAATCCCTCCCATCCCTGCCTCCCTCCTTTCTCAGCTATACCTCATTATCATTTTCTTTAATCTACCACCCTTCTAAACCAATTGGATGTTTCTAGTCCCTCCCAAATTTCTACCCTCACACCTGGGAATGGTACATATTAGAAAAGTCAGCAAGCAGAGGAAGAATTTGGGTGCCAGCCATGAACTAGGAGATTTTCATAAAGTTTAATTCACGCCAGACCTTAGCTGGAACACAAGTTTATTTCCAAGCTAAGATCTTATCATCCGTTTCTTCAGTCTGTCAATCTATTTTTCACTTAACGTGCATCAACTGAGTACCCTCTAAGTGCCAGAGATTGTGCTTGTGCAGGAGGCATGGACACGAATACCTCTCCCTTCACGAGCAAGCCCTCTGGGAGAGGAAGTAAATAGTCCTTCCCGAGTGTTTGATGTCAAAGGAGGCATTAAGCGACTGCGTAGCCATACTGGAGGAATGGTGAGCGAATGGAAAACTTGCTTCCTTTTGTTCACTGCACTCGTACACTGTGAGGAGTCTCGCCTGTTCACTGCCGTCTTTCCACACCCCTTCCCCAGACCCTCTCTGTCAGCCAGTCCTGGCCTTGGTGTTCATTTTGCTCCTGCATTTGCCTCCTGGAGCTGGCTTCTCTGCCTCAGCTTCTCCTTCTCCTCCCTGCTGCCTTGGATGCACTGGGCTCTGCCACTGCCGTGCTCTCCTAAGGCACGCTCCTAGCTAGAGCGCCGATTCACAGAGCCACTTCCTCACAGAGCCCTCCCTTGCCCTCTTCTCTCCCGATGTCTCTCCAGGGATGGGCTGGGTCATGTTAATGACATTGGCCACAGGCTGCTTTTGAGGATTTGTGCTGCAAGAGGTGTAGCTGTATTCCTTAGACTATGACTCGGGCATTTAAACTTTCCAACAATGATGTATTATTTGGCAAACTTTTTTCTCCCTTTTTCCTGCTGCTGGTCTGTTGGAACTTATGAAGGGTGATAAAGATAAGGCAGATGGAGAGCCTGGTGGAGTTCTATTAACATGGATAAGTTCCCTCTCCCCTAAAGGTCTGAAACTAACACTTTGAAAAACCAAGCCCTTAATGAAATTGCTTTTAGAGTAGAACCAGCTCAAAAAATGTGTTTCCATCCCCACAAGCATCATTTGTTCTTTTCAGGTTTGTTAAGTAGCAACTAGATGTGATACCCAGTCACTACAGAGGGGATCACATGTGTGGTTTGACCCATGCAGTCACCTGTCTCAGAAGCCAGTGGGTTAATCAATAAGTGTTTAAACATTTTGATCCCTAACATAACAGTAACTAGTCTCTCAGATGAAAACACCAGATCATGACCTCCTTATTTCAGGTACTAAGAATTTTAATGAGAACCTCCTGTGATCTGAGTCAACCAACTGCCAATGGCCAGTCTGCAAAATTCTATGACCTGGTCAGTGACTGCAATTTCTTAAAGGAGCTAAATGACTATTTACTTGCTACTCTGTTCACTTATGATTTAGAGTCTTGATAAATTCCAAGCCACTGCATATTTCCCTGGACTGTGGAATAAAATTTAAATTCTGACATTCAAATCTTTCCACAATTGAATGTCAATGTACAACTCCCTCTTAATGAGCTGCTCTTCTCCTATAGAACCTTCCATTCATAGTCAAATCTACCTTCTAACTGATCCACTGCCCCTGACAACTTGCATATTTCCCACTCTGCACATCTGCTCAGACTCCCTCCTCTATGCATATTCTTCTACTATAAACACTACCCATTGCCATGGTCTAGACCCAGTTTCAGCTAAACTCAACATCTATTGAGCACCTACTATTGCAAGGTACTGTTCAAGATGATGTAGATATGACCAAACAAATGTGACCAAGATAGTCCCTGACGTCAAGGAATTTACAGTCTCATCTAAGAATTGTTCTCCAACCATGGCCCTCCATGAGAATCTCCAGTGAGTGGATAAGACTCTGGGCTTCCAAGGCAGGGGCCACGAGTTCAATCCCTGGTCGGGGAGCTAGGATCCCACATGCCATCTGGTGTGGCAAAAAAAAAAAAAAAAAAAATTACCAATGATCTTACCCAGAATAAACCAATTAATTCAAAAGTTCTGGGAGGTGGGACCAGGGCATGAGTGTTTTTTAAAACACCACAGTAATTCTAATCTGTACCCAGGATTGGGAAACACTGGCCTGAAGCTTCTCCAATCCATTGCATCAATCCACAATGACTTCCTCCTTCCAAATTTGTATATATACTAGCTTTAATATTTATTTGTCAATTATTTATTTCATGTTGATTTTTAATTTGCCTATTTTCTTCTCCAATGAAATGGTTGTCTTCCTGAAGGGCGGGGAAATACCCTATATGGTTTTTTTTTTTTTTTTGCGGTACGTGGGCCTCTCACTGTTGTGGCCTCTCCCCCTGCGGAGCGCAGGCTCAGCGGCCATGGCTCCCAGGCCCAGCCGCTCCACGGCATGTGGGATCCTCCCGGACCAGGGCATGATCCCGTGTCCCCTGCATCAGCAGGCGGACTCTCAACCACTGCACCACCAGGGAAGCCCACCCTATATGGTTTTAAATATTTAATATCTAACATACCATTTTAAACATAATTGGTCTTCAATAAATAACTGTAGATGATCATGTCAGGTATTTCCTAGCCAGATTAGGAGAAAACCTTGATACCTAATCTAACCTTGGTAATCTGTAATCCCAAAGAACCTGGGAAGGGCCCAAGCTAGACTCAAAGGGTCCAAGGGAACCCTGAATCTCCAGAATGAGTCTCCTCACCCAACGCAGCCTGATACTGAGGATGTTCTTTCTGTGGTAGCTAGGATCACTCCATGCCACTAGGCCCTCTCGTGGCAGGGGTGAGTACAGACCAAATTTTTCTCTCAGATACCTTCCTCCTAATGGGTACCTGCATCCTTTGGAATAATACCTCATTCTGGCATGGCTTGCCCTAGGAGAGGGTGGAGATGCCAGGCTAAGAGCCATTTATCAGTTTTCCCACATTCTATTTCATGCCAAGCCACGATGAGAGCACAGGCTTTTTCTGTCCAGTGCTTTCTGGCAAGCGCTTGCTTCTGGACAGAAATTTCCAGCTCTAGTTCAAAAGGGCCATGTGCAGGACTCAGCCCACAGCTGAGCCATTAACTGCAGTGGTCACCACCAGCTGTCACGCGAGGAGGCCCAACCTGGGAAAGCATTTCAGATATTCACCCAACTTGTCTTCGGTGGCTTTTTGAAGTTGTTCCTGCCAAATCTGCATGGATGAGGGATAGATGAGATTTTAGGACGCAGCCTTCCTCTGACAGTTTGTTCTATATTTAGTTTTTGGAGTCACTCAGTAGATTTTGCAGATAAAAGAAAACTTTAGAATTTCATACGCATGAGCCAACATGGGCTGGAAAGCGGCTCTGAGCAACACTCTGAGAATCAGACCCACCCCCCTCCTTCCCACTTATGGAGAGGCGACCTTGGGGAGGCTGCAAACCTTCTTAAAATGTTGGTTGATGGCTTGGTAAAATGGAACCAAATGACTAACCTCAGAGGGCTGTTGTGAGGATAAATGAGGCAACTCGAAGAGCACCTGCCTTTAGAAAGTTCTCAATGAAGGTTAGTCTCTACCCACACCTGCCTTTGCTTCCCCTACAATGTTTCCCCTTGACCCTCCCAGAGGGTGAAGGTTTTCTTGTTAACTTGGTAGAGTGTCATGTTTCAGAAGTCTCTGTGCTCTGAGGAAGTTCTTTATCCTATCAAACCCAGATCCATCTCAAACATCAAATGTGTTCAAACCCAGAGGTTAACCCATGTCCTGTTTTAAATGAAGAATAATTTTCACCACTATTTCTACCTTTAAATTGGAAAGTTGGGATTATCTCCCCTAGCAGCCTGTTCGAACTAAAGAGCATAGCTAAATCTTCTTGTCAAGCAGTCAGTAAATGTTTACGGAGTGACATTCCTGTGCCAGAAATTATGTTTGGCAGTGGGGATGCAAGATGACAAAGAACCATCCTCTGCCTCCCAAGAGAGCACATTCTTATGAATGGTGATGGACACATGAAAAGATGAGTGCAGATCAACATCTCAGGGGTGACAAGGCACCGTGTGCACGTATGCAGAAGAGAGTCCCTTACTCAGCCTAAGAGCATGAAGGCCCTGGAGGGCTTTCAGGAAGAGATGCGACCTTAACTGAGTCTTAAGATGAGTGGGAGTGCGGCAAAGGAGAGAGGAAAGAAAATTCAGAAGAAAGGACTTTTAAGAGCAAAGGCAAAGAGGCGAGAAAATGAGGACGACTTTTGGAGTTACGGTCAGATTGCATTATAGGAACACAGAGTTTGAAGCAGGGCTTGGTGAAAGAAGAAGCTGAAGTGTGACATCTCCGGAGATGTGGACTGTGTTCTGTGGGTCTGGGTGCCCTTAAACAGTGTCAGCTGGAGAAAGATGTGGTTTGCATTTCCTTTCAAAAGATTACTGCATGCAGAGGAGGAAGGGAAAACTGAGATGGATGGACATGGATCTCCCTCCCAAAAGAAATATGCTAGAATTGCCAACCGTCTTCTAAAATCTGCTACAGAAATTATAAGCTACAGGTCACAGATCTGTTGCTCTGCATCAATGCAAAACTTGTCATTTTAAAACTGAAATAGAAAACAAAAACTCCTGTCTATGTCCAAATAAACCGCCTTCTCCCTGGTACCCTTCAATATTGCATATGTCCTCTCTGAAACAGTGTATTATGTGTAACATTAGTGGTGTGCCCACCCCAGCCTGCCTGTTAGAGTCTTCCTGTCTTAACAACGCCCATTACAAAACTCACTTAAATGTTGTTGCCTTCAAACCACATTCTTCCTTAAGTCCCAGGTTCCATCCTTAAGTCCCAGGTTCCAGGCACCTTGGGGCAATCACCTGCCAGGTGTGTGTGTGTGTGTGTGTGTGTGTGTGTGTGTGTGTGTGTGTGTGT